TACATGCACCGAATCTCCCAGTTCTCAATGCAGGCTCTAGCAGAGATGTTACAGCTGCTGGTTAAAAGTCCTTATTGCACATCCTACGATCAGGATGGGTTCACAGGTCTTCCGGGCTCTTCAATCCCTGCAGTGCTGCCTCTGGGATGAAGTGCTGAGCTGAGAACAAAATGGCATCGACCACATGGCCTCTTTATATCCCCTTCCTGGACTCTTCTGGTCTCAGCCGGTCACCTGGTCCTCAGCCTCTCTCTGCTGGCAGCTCTTAGGTCTCCACCCTCATGTTTTAGGTGTGTCTTTGGCCCATCAAGTGCCATTGTTCTACAGGGCTTCGCTACTCAGCCTGTCCATAGCAATGCTTAACCACATTCCAAGAAATATTCAGGAATATTCAGAAATACTCGGGAGATACGACTGAGGTCTATAAAGCCATGACGGGTGTGAAGAAAGTCAATAAGGGAATGTTATTTCCTCCTGATAATATTCCACACAGATTCCTATCTACACACACAGACATTATATACTCACATAAACAGTGTACACAGGATCAGCAAACAACAAGCTCCCATTCAATATCCCACATGGCCCCCTTCTATATCATTGTTGGGGCCAGCACCCCCACCTAGGGGTGCAGCAGAGATATGGCTGCTTCCCTCCAAATCCAGCAACGTGACACTGGGCCCCTCTCTTCACCTCCTCTCCTCTCCTCCATCCTTTGTCCCACCCCCTGTCCCTCCACACTGGGGAAGTCCCCGGGGTCCTCTCCCCACAGCCCATTGGCCAGACCCAGCTGTGCCATTCCAGCTGGGTCTCCTAGTCACCAGCCATTGGGGGCTCCAGTTTGCGCTGGTCCCTGGAACAACAAACTCCCTTCCTGTCCTCTTGTTAAACCAGTAACAGCCGGGGACACTGAGGGTGCGTCTACACTGCACCGCAGGCCGAAATAAGCTATGAAGTCTCAGCTGGGCAAATTGCATCTCTCATTTCGACGCTATTTCGTCTACACAGCGCCAGATTTGAATAGAGCGCTTTTCCGACATGTCCCTCACTCCCTGTAGAAGGAGGGTTACAAGGACGTTGGAATAGCCAGCCCGAAATAACGGGATTGCTGTGCAGACGTGGGATAGCTACTTTGGGATACTCCGGGATCCCGAAACAGCACTGCAGTGTAGACGTAGCCTGAGTGCCCCTGCAGGTAACCCCTCAAACCCACGAATCCCCCACTTTGCCCTAGGGATCCCGGGAGCCGTTTCCCATCTCCTAGGCCCCTCATCCTCTATCAGCCAGGCCAAAGGGGAGCTTGCCCAGCGCCAGCTGCGGCACATGGGAGCTGAGCTCCCTCTCCTGGCTGAAGGGTGCATAGGAATGTCTGAGCCTTTGAGTCAAGGCGCCAGGCCAATGCAGGATGCCCTGACCCAGCTGGTATATGACAACTGGGGCGTGCAAGGCGTCCACACTGCAGAGACACAAAATGCCTTGGGAGGCCACACCCCACCAGCGCCAGAGCTGCCCTTCCGCCTGCCCCGAACCAGACCAGTGCGTAAATCTGGAGCTGCTCCACAAACCAGGGAGAGGCTGCTGTGAGTTACTGTGCCCCAGGGCCGAAGCTGGCGCGTGCCGGGCTGACAGCAGCGGCCAGTGGCTCTGTTAGACAGTCACCTGGGACTCAGTTAGATGGTTGCCGGGGTCCCCAATCTTGTGCTGGTCCCTGTAACACCAGACTCCCTCCCCTCCCCTTGTTAAGCCAGAGACACTGAGTGCCCCCTACCCCACCTGTCACCCCTTTGAATCCCCAGGCCCCCCACTTCCTCACAGGTTCTTGATAAAAAAATTGGTATCCGCATCCATCTCTGTGACAAAGAGCTGCAGGCCTTCGCAGCCAGCCAGGGGCGCCAAGCACCAGGCTGTGGGGACATTTCACGCCTGTTCCTGGCTCAGTGACTGTCCTGGCCACGAGGAATGATGGCGCCAGCACCTTCTCCTGCCGGCGGCCCCGCAACGCTCGCCCCCTTCTGCTTCTGCAAACCCCCAGCGAGAAATGAAACTGCCAGGAGCCACCTGCAACATGCCCGCCCCCACAAGGGAATCCTTACACCACCCCCAGCTTGGGATCCCCCCTCCACCCTGCCTCTTCCCCCAAAACCCCTCTCCAGAGCAGCTCATTGGACCAGTGGGGTCAGGGGACCGGCAGCAGGGACTGGAGCCCTACTCTCATCGCCAGCAGCGGGGGAAGTGGAGCAACGCAGCCCCAGCTCGCTCTGCCCCCACGACTCCTGAGCACACCCCTCTGCTTCCCGCTAGTGAGTGTGCCAGCCCCAACCCCACCCCACCCTGCTGCTAGTACCCAGGCCCCACTTGTACCCCAGAGATTAGATAATAAGACAGAGGGGTCATAGTGCCTCTGTATCAATCCATGGGACCCCCACACCTCACGTGCTGCCTGCAGATGTGGTTGCTCCATCTCACAAGTTCTATTGGAGTTGGAGACAATTCAGAAAAGGGCGACAGAAAATGAGGAGGGGTCTGGAGCGGCTGCTGTATGAGGGGAGGTTGTAAGGAGACTGAGTATTTCCAGCTTGGAAAAAAGACAACTCGGGAGATACGACTGAGGTCTATAAAGCCATGACGGGTGTGAAGAAAGTCAATAAGGGAATGTTATTTCCTCCTGATAATGCAAGAACAGGCAGTAGGTTTAAAACGAACAAAAGGCAGTATTATTTCACAGGGTTCTCCAACCTGGGGAACTCCCTGCCAGAGGATTTTGTGAAGATTAAAATTAAAACAGGCTTCAAAAAAGCACTAGATCAGGCCTGGGCAAAAGACACTTCGTGTGCAGGATATGTCCCACCAAGCCACTGGGTCGGCCCGCAGAGACAGCAGGGAGCCTTTCCCCGCTTGCTCTGTCCCTGCACGCTGCTCAGAAAAGCGGCTGTGGGGCCATTTGTGCTCCACAAACTGTGAGCCTGGAGGAGAGGGTGGGGTGGTGCCTCATGGCTACACCCACTCCCAGCAAAGGCAGCACTGGAAGCACCACCCCTCCCTTCCCCCACAGCTCTTATTCAGAGAGCAGGTAGCTCCTGCAGCCTGTGCAGGGGCAGGGCAGGCTCCCTCCCAAGAAATGGGAGTCTCATTGGTAAGCCCCAGCCCCTTCCTTCCCCCCAGCCCTCTGTCCTCCCACTCCTACTCCCCTAGCACACAACACCCAAACCCTCTGCCCCCCTTCTCAGACTCCCTCCGAGACCTGGCACCCTAATGCCCTGCGCCAGATCACAAGCCTCTCCGGCCGCAATCCCGTGCACCCCAATCCCGTGCCCCAGGTCACAGCTGCCTCCGTCATGCAAACTCCCTCCCAGACCTCACAGGGCTTCCTACACCCACATCCCTTCTCCAGGGGTGGCAAGGCAGCCTCCATGGGCCAGATTTGGCCTGTTAAGCCATTTCATACAATCCTAGAATCCTAGGGCTGGAAGAGACTCAGGAGGTCAAAGAGTCCAGCCCCCTGCCCAAGGCAGGACCAACCCCAATGTGACTCTGCCCCTTTGAAAGGCCGCCACAGCGTTTCAAAGGAGCAGTGCTGCGTGGAGCCTGGGGTCAGCTGATCCCAGGTTCCAGGAGTCCGGGGCTCCACAAGGCATTTCAAAGCACCAGCACCGCACGAAGGCACTTCCGCTCTGAAATGCACAAGAGCCCCCACTGGGGACGCGTGTACGTTTCAAAGCTGGCACCCATGTGCAGGAGTCAGTGGGACTTCCCGCTGGCCCGGGCTACAGGCAGAGTTCTGCATTCCTCCTCTGAAGTGTACCAGAGCCCGAGGAGGGGCCCAGCGGGGGCTCTGGTACGGTTCTAAGGAGGAATGGGAAGTGCCTATCGACGGGTCGAGCAGTGGATGGAAATTCCATCGACTACTCGACTATTAAATGACTCGCTAGTTAACATCCTTAGTTCAGACCAGCCCCCTGCACTCACAGCAGGACTATGTATTATCTGGACCCAGCCCTGGAGAAGGCTGTCTGGGGGAGGGATTTGAAGTGGGGTCTGTAGCTCAACAGGACAGAGTTGATGGGATTTCCTTGTGCAGATGCAACATTAGTATCCATAAGTACATGTGTAGCTGTGAAAGGAGTTGTGGATACGCACGCTGACAGGGGAATAATCACTTCTCTGGATCTGCTGGTAATGCTCGTCCTAATGCACCCTAATCTGCCACTAGCCTTCTTGGCTACAAGGGTGCCCTGTTGACTCATATCATTTGACACCCTGCCACTCCCCCGCCCCCAGCCAATGGAGACCTGGGGAGCATGCAAAGTCTCCTCCCCCTGCCAGAGGTGCGCGGCAGCAGGAGCCACGAGCTGTTCAAAATGGCTGGCGGTTCTCTGTAGGCGCTGGAGGGGCAGGGGGCAAAGACTTCATGTGCCCCCACCCCCAGGCCAATCGGGTCTGTACGCGTGGGAGCACAGGAAGCCTCCTGGTCCTGCCCCTGCTGCTTGAGGCCCCACCCCTTCTGGAGCAGCCTGCGACACTTCAGAAATACTTGCATGGCCCCTCCATGGCGACTAGCCAAGATGCCCAGGGATGCCGCCTACTTGTCAGAGGCTGGGAATGGGCAGCAGGGGCTGGATCACTCGATGATTCTTGGTCTGTCCATTCCCTCTGGGCACCTGGCACTGGCCACTGTGGGCAGACAGGCCACTGGGCTGGATGGGCCGTGGGTCTGGCCCGGAGTGGCCGTTCTTGTGACTCTCGTGACCCTGCTAAAAGACCGGGGTCCAGCAGGGACTGCTCACTGGGGACAGAGATCAGACTGGACGGGGGATTAGAGATGTGGCCCTGGGGCAGGGCAGGGAAGGGGCTGTTCTCATCCCCTGCGTCTCTCCCACAGCTGCTCCGAGATGGAGGCGTACTGGTACCCCACGGAGCGCTGTGACACCCGCATCAGTAAACTGGGTGTCGGGCTGGGCTTGGCCGTGGCTGGGCTGGTGATTGTGAGCGCTGTCCTCGGCATCTTTCTGTTCAGAGCCAAGCAGACCAAAACCCATTACAGGTAAGTGGGCCGGATACACCTGGCTGGCAATGGAGGCAGTGTGAGCCTGTGGTTAGAGCAGGGCCTGGGAGCCAGGACTCCTGGGTTCTCTCCCTGGCTCTGGGAGTGGAGTGCGGAGTTGGGGGCTCAGAGCAGGGGACACGGGCGTCTGGACACCTGGTCTCTTTTCCCAGCTCTGCTGCCGAGTCCATGCCTTAGTGTTCCCTATCACAAGGGGTGGTAATGCGCCTTTGTGGGGCAGAGAGGGGATTGTGAGGCATTGCTGCAGAAGGCTCGTCTCTGCGAGCTCTGGGGGACCCCAGCAGCCATGGTGCAGGTTGGGGCGGGTCTAAGACAAGCTCTGCCCCTTTGGTTCAAGGGACAGGTGCTGAAGGAGGGAGCAGAGGGGCTGCCCCACAGCCATGGGCCAGAGGGAGGCCGAGTCAAGGGCCCTTAGGGGCCTGGTAGGGTGACGGAAGCCTCCATGTCCTGCCCATGAGCCCCCGTGCACCAAATGGCAGACGGGTGCTGCCTGGCCCGGTGCAGACAGGTGCGGGTGTTGCCTGGCCCGGTGCAGACAGGTGCGGGTGTTGCCTGGCCCGGTGCAGACAGGTGCGGGTGTTGCCTGGCCCGGTGCAGACAGGTGCGGGTGTTGCCTGGCCCGGTGCAGACAGGTGCGGGTGTTGCCTGGCCCGGTGCAGACAGGTGCGGGTGTTGCCTGGCCCGGTGCAGACAGGTGCGGGTGTTGCCTGGCCCGGTGCAGACAGGTGCGGGTGTTGCCTGGCCCGGTGCAGACAGGTGCGGGTGTTGCCTGGCCCGGTGCAGACAGGTGCGGGTGTTGCCTGGCCCGGTGCAGACAGGTGCGGGTGTTGCCTGGCCCGGTGCAGACAGGTGCGGGTGTTGCCTGGCCCGGTGCAGACAGGTGCGGGTGTTGCCTGGCCCGGTGCAGACAGGTGCGGGTGTTGCCTGGCCCGGTGCAGACAGGTGCGGGTGTTGCCTGGCCCGGTGCAGACAGGTGCGGGTGTTGCCTGGCCCGGTGCAGACAGGTGCGGGTGTTGCCTGGCCCGGTGCAGACAGGTGCGGGTGTTGCCTGGCCCGGTGCAGACAGGTGCGGGTGTTGCCTGGCCTGGTGCAGGCTGGGGCGACTGTTGCCCCTTCCCCCGCAGCCGGCACTCGGCCGACACCGATGTGGAGAAGT